TTTTACTATTACACGTTAGCATGATGGAAGTTGGCAACAAATGTATCTGAACAGTATGATGAAAGCAGAGAGGTGTTGTGCCCTCCTGTCCTCCCACAGGAATTGGGTGAAGGCAGTCCAGCTTTGTTCCCTATGTACCCTGTTGTGCAAATGCTGTCAAAGAGATACGCTAAACCAGAATATTGAGTTCACTTACCTACAGTGAAACCTATCTAAAATGATTGGGAGTAGAGAAAAGTTCTATCTGAAACAGTTTTCAGTTTTATAGGGGCAGCTTCCTCTCTCCCTCTTCTCGTTCTGTCTGCTCGTGGTCTCTGCTGTGTCCTAATTGCTCTGCTCCATGACTTCTGTTTTTCTCTCAGCATCCCAGCCCAGCCCTTGTTCTCCCTGCTCAGACTGTGTGCATGTATAATTGCTTTCCTTGATATACAAGGTGATTCTACAAATGGACCCAAGTTACCTTTCTATTTCTACGTTAGTTTCCAGTTTATGCAGATTGAATATATATAATTCCCCATACAGCACATTGGGACAATAGAAAATGTTCAGCTTGAGCAGGTTTCCAGCTTTTATCGGCTCCATTTTAGGTCAGTTTCAAAGTACCAGCAAGCATTGGGGTTGTGCTAGTTGTGAATCCCTGTTGAACTGGAGTTATAAGTATTTTGTGTTGATACTAGCCTTCGGTGGAAAGATTTTAGCTGCCAAAAATGTTGTATCTGGGTTTCTACCAGCTTCCCCAAAGTGCATCTCATCCAATATTGAAAAAATCATCATTGATCACCTGTTGGCAGGCTCTTTTCTGTATATACTTGTTCTTGCTTTTATTATTCTTTCTCCAACCCCTCATTGTCTACTATACTGTGACATTGCTAAAAGTTAGTCCCATGAAAGATGACAATGTTTCATAAAGTGTTATGCTTTTTACATAGAGACAACTTGCCACTCCTACAATTGTGACAGTATGTACCATCCAGGTAGACCTAATTTATTACATGTTATGCAGATTGGAACAAGAGAGTATGTCTATATCTTGGGGCAGGTTGTTGATGAGGGGTTGTACCTTACTTAAAATTCACCTTATATTACATATGTTTCCTTATATTGCATGTATTTCCTTCTCTATGTAACATCATCTGACAATGCTGCTCTCAGCTAAGCAATTCCTTTGGTCAGATTATTTAAAACTCTTTAAAAAAATCAGCGTGTAGAAGGGGAGACTTATTGTACAGCATCTTTTCTTTAAAGTATGCAAGGAAGATTTTCAGTGATTGTGAGATTTAATAAGATGTTATCACTTATACTAGATCAAATTAGTGCTTGATCTGTCAGGTTTGACCTAGAAACCACTACACAAAGCCCAAGCAAAAGTCTCTGTTATGTAACTAATGCCCATCTGCAATGATAAGGAGGAGACAGTCTTAGATAAAGGAGGCTTGAAAACAAAAGCAAAATCAGAGGACTAGGGTAAAGAGCTGATTTAAATATTAAGATTCACACCCCTAGGTGGGGAGAAAGTATGCTAATGAAACATACATGTATGGAAATGAGATACATAGCTAAAACACAGGTATAGAGACATGCTCAGTAAAGAACTCCTTGCGTCACTCCCTTATAACCAATTAGCAAACAAGAATGCTTATGAAGGTCCAATACTCCTGTATAAAAGATGCTTAGAATTAAGAATCTGTGTGCTTGTTACGTGAAATTATTCTGCTTGCACCTTGTATTGCTAGCAATAAATCTTTATACTTTCACCCCTGGTATCTTTATTGGCTTTTGCATACCGGGCACGATCCCAGACTTGAGCTGGGGCTCAACAGATCTAGTCCAGTGTTGTGTCTCCAGAAATGGCCAGACCCAAGGCCCTCAGAGGAAAGCACAAAAACATCAAAGAATGCACATAAAGATGGATGTTCTCTGAAGTTAACTCTCTTTCTGAAGTCAAGTCCCACTGGAGTTGCTCTTTTTCTTCATGTCATGTCATTTTTTCACTTCTCAATATTACTTGCAATTCTATAGAGCAGCATCAGTCCTAAGATTACATTTTAGGACACCCCAGTTATGGGTCTTTCAAGGTAAAAATTTATTATTGTGTTTTGTTTCTTATCCCTGACCTTTACCTGTCTCCTCAAGAGGACTTCATGTCTTCAATTGCCTCGAATGAGAGCAAGCATAAAAAGTTGTCAAAAGTCTATATTTAATATGCATCCTCTCATTTCTCAACTGCTTAAATATCTTGTAAGGTTTCAAAAAGCTCCTAAAACCATCCTGTTGTTGATGGAATTTAAATGTTTGCAGCTTTAGGATGCTTTTTCTTTACCACAACCTCCCCTTCATCATAATCAAGTGTTTTTCTGTAAACACTATGGTAATGCTATGTAAATACTATGGTACAATGTAAACACTAAAAATATGGTGGCAAGAAGCTTTACTTTTCTCTTACAAATTTGTGGACATGCCTCTCATAGATTTCTCTATCACCTGCTGAGCCTCCTGTTAATGGAACTGATTTGACATGTAATTCTCATGGCTATTGTGGCAGACAGCTATCTTCTGGAAACACTTACTGTGTCAGTGTCATTAATGACTCCTGCAGTTACTGGAGAGATATGATGGCTTTTAATTATTGGAGCACTCCACCTGCTAATGTGATATTGGAGTGCTTATTAGGATTTGCTGATGATGTACAAACACGTTACAGAATATCTTTGCTGTCTAAAATGTGATATGGCTTAGTTTAATTAAAATCAAGTCACAGTGAATTTTATAAGGAAATTTTAAAGCTGGATATATATTGGGATCTATAATAAAATGTTGGGACAAAACTTAAGTAAATTCAGTGCCCTAAATAGCTAGACTGGCTAATATCAGCATATGCCTCAACCTGTCTACATTGTTTCCAAAGATAAAAGAAAGTTCTTTATAAGAGACCTTGGAGCTGCATTCTGATTTTAAAACCTTCTAACATTAAATTCAGCAAACTCTTGCCTATCTACATGAGCTCAGTATGCCTTAATTTTAATGGTCATGTGTTCAGCAGTGGATCTTTGCTCACTATGCTCTCACTTTCCTGGTGCCTACATATTGTGCTCTGTCCACCAATATAACTTGGTTTCTTGAGTAGCCAAATTGAGAGGACTCTCTAAAACCACACCTTTGTCTTGAACCTTCATGCTTAATACTTAACTGTCTTAACTATAGGGAACTTCTTTCTGCCTTCCTTCTCTCAAGTGACTATTTTCAATTCTTGAGCATCTGCCAAGCAGATCTCTCTCGCCTAGATTGCCAATAACTCCCCATATATTATTAGCATATATGATTAGGCATAGTGAGAGTAAATAAAAACTGTTGCCAACAGTATGACACCAGATTTAGGCAGGCTCCAAAAATGTGTCATCAGCTGAAAGGCTTTGGCTCCAAAAGAAGAATGTGCCCAAGCCTTTTGTGGGCCAGTAAAACATTTCTACATTTTACTATCCAACACCACAAAAAATGAAGTGGCAAAAGGAGAACCGTTAGCTAGCAGTGAATGTGTAAGGCAGGTGAAATAAATGCTGATGTGAACTGAGAAACCTTTTTTAAATGGCTTTAATAAATCTGGACCCCAATTCAAAATCCTTAAGCACATGATTTGTTTGTTGCATCATGTGTACTATGCACAGCCTGAATACTAGTCTGTCCCAGATATGCATGAATGGAGAAATTCCCTTCTGCCATGGTGTTGCAGGAGTTTCTGTGATCCCTCTGTTGATGGGGAGGGACAAATTGATCCTGGTAGCAGTTTCTCTCTGCCTCATAGCTGCTCTGCCCCACAGATGCCCTGGTGTGCATGGATTTACTAACAAATGACCCCTGTGCCACAAGAATGCAACCTCATATCCTACTCTCCTCCTTCCCCTTGCTTATGCAGTCATGTTGAATTCACCCTCTATAGTGCAGCAGGATTTGTTCCCTAGTCAGAGTTGCCAACCTAAGATCTTTTTTTTTTTTATTGACAATCTGCAAGCTTTTTACTGATAGCCAAACTTTATTACTGACACGTTTTTACTGATATATGTTGTACATAATGTAAATGGAATTGTTCTTCCAGCCCTGTCCTGCTGCCAGGCCCCAGTTTGAAGGCTTGGGTTCAAATTTAGGGGTTTAACATCAATCATAAAGAAGTTAAAAAGGTTACTCCTGTTGGCCCCATTTCCCTCCTGTTCCATCCTATCCTGTCCCAGAACCCCAAAGAAGCCTACCTGTGACCCAGCAGCATTATAGGCAGCCTGGGACACAGCAGCACATGGCTGAGAGAACAGAGTGCTGCACTCCCACTCAGACACCAGGTGGCACCGCTCTGTCCTGTCTATCAAAGCTTCCATCACTCTGCAGCTGCTTACTGTTTTTACTGAGAGCTAAAGTTTTTTTTTTAAATGGACTTCACTGAGAACCATTTTAGCTGATTTTTTTTTACTGACAGTTGGCATCCCTGCCCATAATGTGCTTTTTTATATCCTACAACTTCAGAATTTTTGGCCAAGAACAGAACCTCAAAGAGAACAGACCTCCTTTCCATCATCAAAACTCTACTTATTCACTGAGCTGACATAGGCAGTCTTAACTTCCAAGGGCCTCAACTCTCCAGTACGATCATGATCTTTGTGCAGACCTTCATTGATTTTAATGTGACTCAGGGCTTCTGTTTGTTCATGCAAGTAAATACCGGGGGGTGGGGGGGGGGGGGTGGACTTGAGACCAATTCTCTGTTGCCAAATATACTAAAATTAACACAGTTTTTCTCCAAAGCTCTAGGCCATTATACAGCTAGCAATGCTATAGTGCTGCAATAGGGTCTCTAGTTGTACTGACAGAATAAATACATAAAATAAACCCTACTTCATTTTAATCTGATGATAATTTATCTTTGTGACAAGGTTGTGAGATGAGTAAATCCTTGGGGAACTAAGGGGAAGTGTAAATCTGCACATACTTAATGTTTATTAATTTGCAGTACTCACACGAAAACGCCCTCAGGGGTCATTCTTCCAGCTGTAATTAAATATGCCCCAAATCGAAAGCCTGCAGCATAGGTGAAATACAGAAAAGCCTGGCTGAATGCGTAACAGGAACCGTAGATCTGAGCTTTCTTTTGAGCATTTCTGCAACATACAACATTTGTACAGAAACCATGAACCAATTGGAAAAAAACATTAGGGTACATTCTTTCTGTTCAGAAAGACCAGTTTTCTTATTTGCTGCAGCTAGTACAGTTTGTTCGTATGTGTAATTCAGGTGTGTTGCAGGGACTGAAGGTGGTAGGTGGTAGATATAGCAAATGTCCATCATGTGTAAAACTGGTAAGAATTCCTGGGTCTTGCCTTTACTAAAATCTCTGTAATGCTGCACTGGTGGAACTGTAGTAGGACTCTGGGTCCAGTTACAGGTAAACTGGATAAACAGCCTGGGGAAAAATAAATATCTTATTTACACATAGCTACAGGCCTGCTCCTGCATGCATGAACCCAGAACTATTATTCACAGGAACAAAATCAGGCAGCAACAAACTGTGACAGAGAAAGCTGTTTTGGATCAGTGAAAATAAGGGCCCTCCAAATGTGATCCAGAAAGCAGGGCTATATATGATATCTACCTAGGAGCACTACCTCTGCCTTTTGTCTGTGCAAATCATAAAGATAAATTAATTTTAAATATTCCTGACTCCAGATATATACCCATACAAGCAATGTTAGGCTTTGATTTTCTGAGTTGGCTAGGAGGTGCTTGGTCTGAGCTTTACAATTATAAGGAAACTTGTTGATTTGTATGGTTGAGTTTTTGTCTACTCTTTTTTGGAACAAATAAGATATAGTGGAGTGGGATGTTATCATGCCATTTCTACTCAAAAGGGAGTGTGCCAAGACATTCCCGATAGTCCAATGCAACTGGCAGAACTTGACGTCATGAGCATAAATGTTTGCAGGACTGGTGCTTAGAACTGCAAAAATATATTGGATGTTCAACTTTTTATATAGGCGGTTTTTTTTAGTTTTATCTACCTCAGTCTCCTGACATCCTTCCAGAGAGTTCATGGAAAAGATTGTAATTTGTTTAGAATAAGAAACTAAAATATAATGATTTATGTCTTATTTATTACCAAGATTATCTCGGGCAGTCAAAATCTATATACATATAAAAACATAAGAATCTGAGAACTACCATTTACTGGGGCAGATCTTGCCCAGTATCCTTTGTCACCTAATGGCAGAGAGTGGATGCTGAAAGAGAGAGTGAACTGTGTCTGACCTGCAGCCTCCAGCATTCAAGGTCTAAGACAGTGGTGCTCCACATTTTTCCTCAGCAGGCCAGATGGGTGGTGCCTGGTCTGACTGTGGGACCGAGGGCCATTCTGATCCGGTACCCAGGCTGGCATGGTGGCCACCAATTGGCCATGCAGGAGGAAGAGGGGGCAACCTGGCCCTGTGACAGGGCGACAGAGGAAGGAACGTGACCCAGCCCTGCAGGGGAAGGGGGCTTGACTCAGGCCCACAGGGAGAGGCAGGAGGAATGGAGCATGACCTGGCCCAGCTCCAGCACCCAAGAAAAAGGGGGCATAACTTGGCCCCGCAGGGGAAAAAGGGGAATGGCCTGGCCCCAATCTGGCCCCATAGGGTAAAAGGGGCTGTAGCCCAGCTTCAGAGAGGGAAGGGGGCATGGACTGGGCCCATCCTGGACTCACAGCGAGAAAGGATCAAGACCTAGCTCCATCCAGGAATATGGGGCTTGGAGTTTGGGAATTTGTCAGATGTGATGGCTTTGTGGGCCGCATCAGGCCTGTGGGCCAGAGGTTGAGCATCCCTGGTCTAATAAATTCTGATTCAGAGGCTGTACCACTACCTTGCATGCTCAGTACCTACTGATGCATCTTTTCTCCAAAAATTTGTCCAGTCCCTTTTTGAATCTGGTTAAACTGTGAGTTTCTGCAACATCTTGTGGCAATGAGGCCTACATTTTAATTACATGTTGTATGAAAAAGAACTTCCTTTTGTTAGTTTTAAACTTAATACCTATTAGTTTCATTTTATGACCCCCAATTCTTATATTGTGTGAGAGAGTAAATAATAAATCCCTATGCACTTTTTTTTTTTACCACTTAGTATTTTGTAAACCCTTATCATGTTCCCCCTCAAGTGTCTCTTTTCTAAACTGAATAGGCCTAGCCTTTTCAGGTTTCTCTTTATATGGAAGCCCCCATACCGCTAATCACTCTTGTTGCCCTTCTCTGTACCGTCTCTAATTCTTCTGTTGCTTTTCACTTTTCACCAGAACTTTCTCTTCTTAACAATATGTTTGTCTTAACATGTTAATATGGCTCTTCATTAGCCTTTATTTTTTTGTGTACTTTATTTATTAGCATTTAAAATAAAATTAAAATAGAAATGAGAAGAACAGTTGCAATGGATAGAGACATTGCATTTGGTTTCAATATACCTGATAATTACTGGGATTTCCTACTTGAATATGAAATATCTATTGATATTGCTTCTTACCTATATGGCTTCTGCATATTTTCTTCATACATTTTTTCAAAAGCACGCTCTCTAGTTAATGAAGCAACTGTTCGAATGTTCTCCACAGCTTCTATTGCTACCTTTATTTAAATAGGAAAAACAAACAATTTGATAAAATGAGATGAAAAAGTTATTACTCTCACTGGCCCTTTTCAATATAGCCTGCATGTCAGTAAATATTTTCTCAACAAGAAATGTTATGGCTATTACATGACTCTAATATTTTAAGTCGAAAAACAAATGGCCTGTTCTCTCTCTCTCACCCCCCCCCCCACCAAAGGTTTAATCACAGAAAGAAACACAGTCTTTAAAAAAATGCATTTCAAATGTTCATTATTGTAGATATACACCAAAAAAAAGTGTAAAGCTAGGCGTAAATTTACTGGACTGTCTGTGGTGATATTTGGCCCAAGTCCTGGGATTCTATAGAAGAACAGCGCTCAATCTTTTGGCCCCTCGGCCAGATGAGGGTCATGGGGCCAGTCTGCAAGTTGGATTAGACCCCACACACTAGAATTGGACCCTGGAGGCCCTGTACTGTCTCTGCCCAGTCCTGTACACTGGGATCGGACTCCAGGGGCTTATACTGACTTTGTCTGGTCCCGTACACCATGGTCAGGCTTTGAGGGTCCTGTGCTATCCTGCACACCAGCCTAGTGCACAGTGCTAAGGCCTGAGGACTCCCCATAGATCCAGGAGGAGCCCCAAGGGCCAAATGACATGGCACCAGGGGTCCATAGGTCAGGGGTTGAGCATCTCTGTGTAGCACATTGGGTTTCCAGGGGCAGCTGTGACACACCCTGGTGGCTTCATAACCATACCTCACTCTGCCCCTAAGGTGCCTTCCATTCTCACCCTTTGTGTCTTGATAGAAAAATAATAATAATATTAGGGAGGTTGCCCACGAGCCTTTACATGACCTCCATCCAACTGGACCCTGCTGACCTCTACTGCACCCTGGCCCCTTGCTGGGCCTCTCTGGTCAACTGTGCCCTTCAGGGCACCTACAGCCTTGAAGGCTAATTGTGT